AGTGAAATCTAAATATGCTATTGTCCAGACTATAATCACTGAGTTAACTCACTGTCAGGGTAGTGATCAGGATAAGAGAGTATATGTGTGTGTTTGTGTGTGTGTGTATTGATGCACGTGCCAAGCACACTTCTACAAGTCTGAACAAATGAAATAAGAATTCAGAGTTTGGTTAAAATATGATAGACTGTGATTCAGAGATAATTTTTCCAGCAGTGAGACAGAACTCAAGGTGGATCAAGGACCTAGGAATTAAACCAGAGACGACACTGAATCTACAAGAAGAAAAAGTAGGCCCAAATGTCTATTATGTCGGATTAGGCCCCAACTTCCTTAATAAGACTCCTATAGCACAATAATTAATATCAAGAATCAATAAATGGGATGAATTCAAACTAGAAAGCTTCTTCTCAGGGAAAAAAAACAATCAGTGAGGTGATAGTGATAGAGAGCCTACAACTTGGGAACAAATTTTTACCATGCACACGTCTAATAGAGCAATAACCTCTAGGATATATAAAGAACTCAAAAATCTTAACACCAAAAGAAGAAATAACCTAATAAATAAATGGGCCAAGGAACTGAACAGACACTTCTCAGAAGAGGATATACAATCAATCAACAAATATATGAAAAAAAATATCTCTAGCAATCAGAGAAATGCAAATCAAAAATACTCTAAGATATCATCTCACTCCAGTCAGAATGGCAGCTATTAAGAATACAAACAACAAAAAGTGTTGGCGAGGATTTGTTGCTGGTAGGACTGCAAATTGGTGCGGCCAATATAGAAAGCAGTATGGAGAATCCTTGGAAAACTTGGAATGGAACCACCATTTGACCCAGCTATCCCTCTCCTTGGTCTACACCCAAAGGACTTAAAAACAGCATACTACAAGGGACACAGCCACATCAATGTTTATAGAAGCACAATTCACAATAACTAAACTGTGGAACCAACCTAGATGCCCTTTAGTAGATGAAAGGATAAAGAAAATGTGATGTGATACACACACACACACACACACACACAATAGAATATTGTTCAGCATTAAGAGAGAATAAAATTATGGTATTTGCAGTTAAATGGATGGAGTTGAAGAACATAATGCTAAGTTAGACAATCCCAAAAAAACAAATGCCATTTGTTTTCTCTGATTTAAGGCTGCTGATTCATAATGTGGTTTGGGATGGCATGGGAGGATCAAATGAATTCTAGATAGGGCAAAGGGAAAAAGGGGAGGGAGGGGAAGGAAGAGGGAATGGGGGTAGGAATGATGGTGGAAGGAGATGGACATCATTACCCTAAGTACATGTATGAAGTCGCAAATGGTGTGATTCTACTTTGTGTACAATGAGATATGAAAACTTGTGCTCTATATGTGTAATATAAATTTTAATGCATTCTGCTATCATATATAACCAATTAAAATAAAAAATGAAAAAAAGAGGTTAACCTAGGGCAGGGGCACTTGCATATTGCAGAAAGTGCTAGCCACAGGCTGGCTAGGCCTAGGTGCCATTTGAATGGAAAAGATTATAGAGTCCATCTCCTGGATGCTGAGGGGCTCAGTCTACTGTCACTTTAAGACCAAGATGCTGGAAGTGACTACTTTCAGTTCTCTCTAATACTTAAACTGCTCACAGGGCTTCTGGCTGAGTCCGGGCTCTCTCTGATACCCAGGACAGGGACAATCACAGTTCAGGGGGAGGAATAGTGGCTTCAGGATGAATTTAAAAGAATAAAATGAGTAAGCCATGAACTTCCCGATGGCTAGGAAGCTTTTATTTCTTAGTATCCTCACAGAGATAGTTTGCCCAATAAATGACTGGGTGATTGAAAAAAGTTACCAAATGAAAAAAAGAAAATCCATTTGTGGTGAATATGAAAGATCACTGATCTGAATTCCAGGTTTGGCGGATTCTTCCTTTGACTAATGGGACAGTCTGCTAAGGGAGCTGAGAACAGAGGGAGAGAATCAGAGGAAGATCTCATTCTAGGCTTGGTTGGCAACTATTAATATAAAAGGTAGGTAGAGGAAAACCCAAGGCAATGGAGATAACCAGCCTGGCCACCCAGCTGAATGGTTCCTTTTATCTTTCTGGTTTGAGGTAATCTTCTACCTGTATACTGAGATTTTCTAGCTAGGCCCGGGTAAAGAGCTGAAGCAAGGAAAAACGTGTAAGTCTTGGTAGCATAGAAAGTGTTGAACTACTTAAATAGCAATGACTTTTCTTATGACGATTTGTGCAATTAGGTCTGAAAAAGCCATTTCTCAATTTCTAACCTATGTATTAAAAAAATAAAGCAGAAAGTCCTGCCACACTAAAATTCTTCAGAGCAATGGTATTACCTGGAAATCTTGTGTTACTGCTTTTAAACGTCTTTATGACATTCTGTAGCACTGACTCCTGGGAAGACTCCCTCCTGTCCTTGTGGCTTTGTCTTCAACAGTGCATGAAGTTTACACACTATGGAGGGGATATGGAGGGGTGGTAAGAATAAAGTTTGAGAGGTAGATCCATGTCCAAAGTTTTGTTTCTATACTTATGTTACTGAAACCTAGTGATTTACATTCTCTGGGCCTTTGTATTTCCAAGTCTATAAAATGGGTCTAATACAGCTGTCCCATATGGCTGTCCTAAGGAACATTAAGCCTAGTGTGTTACCTAGAGTGTAATAATGTTCAATAAATGTAGGTGCAATGAGTTCCAGCAATAAGATCCCACATTTTTCCACACAACTCCAAGGATCTCCCAAGATCTCACATAAAGAACATGTTATTTCATACGCCAAAGAGTAAAAATATTAAGAAAATGAATACATAGAATCTCCTCTATCCATTCCACAAATACTGGCTAATCCTAAAGCTAAAGTGCCCCCATCCTTTTCCCACTCTTCTTGAAGAGAGGCTGTGGAATCCATGAAGTATGGACAATGGAAAAAAGGTTAGAGTCAAGGTCAAAGAGGTAAATATGCAAAATAAAAAACAACCACCACCAAAAGGCATATTGTACACTAAAGGTCTAAGCACCTTACATGGAATATTTAACACTCCAATTTGTAAATATGTGCAGTCATATGATCCATAACAACAGGGATATAAATGAATTAGGTGATTGTGTCATTGTATGAACATCATATATGCACTTACACAGACTAAGAAGGCTATGATGTCACTAAGCGATGTATCTAATGAGACCACCATCTTATATGCTGCCTGTTACTAACCAAAACATCATGATGTAGAGCATAATTAGTATTCATAAATAGGTATTCATATTTCATTCCTGTTTCAAATGAAATGGCTAATATGTAAGTAAATTCACCTGCCCAAAGTCTTCGAAGGGACCAAAGAATTTATGGAGGCAAGAAACTCTAGCTTAGCAGGGACAGATCCTCTCTCTCCTATTTTTTTTCTGTTCTTGAAAGAGAACAATGTCAAGACACAATAAAATTTTTGGAGGAAAGAAGCAAAATAATGTATAGCAAGAAAACAGCAGTGTCTCCAGGAATTTTTGGCTGGATATTACTAAAGTAGGAATTTGAGGCCTTTTCCTGGCCTGAGATTTAGGAGGACAAGCAGTGCCCTTCCTCTGCAATCCCACTTGGGCAGCATGTGGATGGCAAATCACCGGGAACAAGAGTGCTATCTACCAGGCCACTTTACTTCTAAAGAATTGAAAGAGTCAATGACTTCTGAAAGGTAGAAACGGAGAGAGCAGTTAAAGGTTGGCTTCCTCCAGGCTGCCCAGCTCAAGTCTGCAGGGTGAAAAGGAGCCAATGGTTTCTATGGAAACTGTCCAGACACAATACTATAACTAGTCAAAGCCACAATACTTCAGAAGTCTAGAAAGTACCTTAAATAGAGCACATCAAAATGGAGCAAGACACACTTCGATTTCTCAGAGCCTGACACTGGATTGAGCCTGACACCAGATTGCTGCCCTTCCAAGTCTTCTAAAGCAGACTTCAGAAGGAGCGTCAAGCACATTAAAAAAAAATCCACTCATCAGATATGTAGTCTGTCACTGACTGACCTTGGAATACCCTTCCTCTTGATGGGTTCTGGAAGGGAGGCTGTCCCCAGCACTTCTTTACCCTAGGCCCCAGGGAGCAAGCCCTGGGGCTGAACAGTCATTTTAACTTTAATGGCATCATTAATGAGAACCAACAATGCATGCTTGGAATGCAAAAAAATTCTCTGTAATTGGACTGGATTGCTTCCCATAAGGATTTTTAGTGGTTTCTGGAGAGATCAACATTTTTCCCTTAACCACCATTATCTAGCTGTCTAGCCACACGTGATTGAACAGAAACCAGTGGTCTCCATTCTTCAGCTGTCAGTAAACCTACCTCCAGTGCCAAATAAAACAGCATGTCTGTGTCACTACAACTTTCTATAGAACCCCCCCCCCCAGATCTCACAAATAGTCCTGCCACCCTCTGAAAAGCTGGAAGGTGCATTCCTCTGCAGAGAATGGATGGCATTGATTCCAAAAGATTCAAAGAACAGCCATTTTAAGAAGGTCCCATTTGGAAAAGATATTTAAGCAAAGCTGCACCTGATGAAGTAAAATAGAATTAGCCGCTTCAGTAGCAAAGGCTTCTCAGATTCATTCTGAGATAGACTGGCTTCTTTGCTCCCAAGTGGAACGAACTCAACAACAATATATCACAGTTAACTGTGATCACAGTTCCATGGAATTTCAGCCAGTGCCGAGAGCACACCGAGGTGCACTTAATATTCCCCAATCTGTAATCAACCTTTTGTACATTTGTTCCTAATCACAGGATACAGTTTCATCTTAATGAACTGTTTTCTTATCATATTACACTTGGTCATTTCAGCACGCCTAACGGCCCATTTGGTAGGTTAAATTACAATTAAGGTCCCTTGGTTTTTGTTTCCTGGCAAGTCTTGGAGGGATTTGACTTTTTTTTCCCCCTTTCCATTGCTTGATTTCAAGGGCAAAATCACTAACAATCAAAGACATACCTATTGCAGTCCACGTGGAGCAGGAGGTGAGAGGCACTCACTGACAGTGCGACCTTGTGCCACTGCCCGTCCGCCATTCGGTATGGAAGTGCCTCTGTCCTGGGCTTCCCCTTATGTATGTAGTGATATCGAATCTCATCCCTCAGGCCACTGCTCTCCAGTTCAAAATAGCTGTGTAAAGAAACAAAATTTTGTTTTATTTTGGTTCTGAATATCACAACTATTGCCAATCCCCACCCTTTATTACGAGGTTCCTCAAAATCTAAAATTAGCTAAACACAACACAAAAACCATGACCTGAAATCAATTGTACTGTAAGGGACCCAATTCACCTATTGTCTGACAGCCCTTGTGGTGACACCTGGAGCCTCTGAAAAGGAGATCAATTGAGCCACTGTAAGGTAAGAAGCCACAAGCTAATTAGCAAAGCATGGGGCTGTGTCTCTCAAATACATAAAAGCACTGTTCGGAATCCTTCTTCTATTGTCTAAAACAGGCCATTTGGGTCAAAAGAATGTATTGATGTTTATTTTTAGAACACCCATTTTAACTTTTTCAAGAACTAATGAGAAATAAAAGGCTTGTTGGACATCAGGGATTCAAATAAATTGCAAGAATACAGAGATTATTAAAGTTTTACCCCCCCCCCAAACCAAAGGCTACATCTGGACAATTCCTAGAAGATGAGTAGGGGAAAAGGTTGAAGCTACTCACATATCAATCAGCATTTCAAATTATCCTAGAATGAAACATGCATTTGGATTTTTCTTTCCCAAGATTATCATGTTTTCCAATCCATGAGACGTCCCTATTGCCACGTCCCTAGTGCCACCACTGTAGATTGCAGCAAGTAACTTTGGGAACACTCCTCCCATACCCCCCAGTGCTGTCACTTTCATGGGGAGCAGAGGATTTTGTCTTCCATGCTTCTCTTCTGAAATGTGTCACTGACATGAGACCTGACCTCACTGACAGGCATCATACTAGCAGGTCACCCACAAAACCGCATAAAACTGATTTAAAAGATTTAAAAACTGAAATTCAAGGATTAAATAACACACCCAAGACAGGATTTAAACTTATTCAAATTTAACTGTGCACTTTCTAAGTGCTTTGCTGCCATCCTAGAGGCAGGCACCAGAGATGCCCTCAAGCAGGAGCAAGATTACCTCAACCAGCACTAACTTCCAGCAACACATTCAGGTGACAATTGAAAAGCTGCTCACTGAGATGGTGACCAGTTTAATCCTGAGATTTAGAAGGACCTGCTGTGTCTCCTCTAATCCACTGAGTTGGCCTGACCTCACCAGCTAGACTGTTTAATCAAAAATACAAAATGCATCTTCCATGAGGACCGAAATGAATATATCATGAAACTCAACCTCTATTATGCATGATTCCCAAATCTCATGTCAGAGAACAAATGCATATTTCTTGCTTATCTTTCACAGGAGATCTTCCCAAGAGAAGTTCAAGGGAAGCGGAGAATCAAGGCTAGCTCTGACCTCTCTTATTTGAAACACAACAAAAAATCAGGCCTGAACTGAAGAAGCTCCTTATATGATAGCAGCCAGCTCCTGGGGCCAGGTACATACTTATTAGCAATAATTAATAAAATACATATTTTATAAGACCAAAAAGGAAGAAATTCCTTAACATTTATTCTAAAGACACTCTCCAATTTCTTTTAAGCAACTAAAACATTAGAAGAGTCAAACAATGCCAGAACTTAAAAGTCAAGGCCTTAGAGATTATCTAGTCATCCACTAATTCATTCAATATGTCTTCCTGAACACATAGTGAAGAAATGAAAAAGCATTTAAAATACAGATCCCTATCTCACTCGTTTTCAGACTAGTGAAGAAAGAAAAATAAATAAAATGTCCCTCCTTAACCAACAACAACAAAAAACACCAAACAAGTAGAAAGCATCCTAAGAGAAGCAAAGTGAAGAGAAGCTACTGCTCATTGAGTGACCACTATGTGCCAGGAATATGTGAAATGCTTTCATAGACATTATCCCATTTCATTTCTTTAATGCAGATATTATTATTATTCTTTTTACAGACAAGCTCACATGTGATCAGAGATACTAGGTGCTTTGCTAAGACCATGTAGCTCCAGTATAGAAAAGAATTGGGATCTTATATTTGAGACCTTACCAAGATTCATACCCTTGCCTTGACCCAAAAGTGACTCCTAAGGGAAGAAACATGACTAAAAGGACTTCAATCAATGACAACGAGAAATGTTCGGAGATCGGCTGATAAAATCATTAAGGAGGAAGGTAAATACATTTAACCAGATATAATCATTATTCCTGGGGTTATGGCCTCATTGAGCAAGTGCTTAATGTATTATAAAAACATCATTTAAAGATCACTTTACATAGCACTGGAGTAAGTGATTACCTGTGGTAATCACAAATATATAGCTATGAGAAAAAAATCTGCCCTAATATTATGCTAGCAAATACTTCTGTCTTAGGCTAATAATTTTTTTTAATTTTTTTATTGTTGGCTGTTCAAAACATTACATAATTCTTGATATATCATATTTCACACTTTGATTCAAGTGGGTTATGAGCTCCCATTTTTACCCCATATACAGATTGCAGAATCACATCAGTTACACATCCATTGATTTACATATTGCCATACTAGTGTCTGTTGTGTTCTGCTGCCTTTCCTATCCTCTACTATCCCCCCTCCCCTCCCCTCCCCTCGCCTCTTCTCTCTCTGCCCCCTCTACTGACATTCATTTGTCCCCCTTGTATTATTTTTCCCTTTCCTCTCACTTCCTCTTGTATGTACTTTTGTATAACTCTGAGGGTCTCCTTCCATTTCCATGCAATTTCCCTTCTCTCTCCCTTTCCCTCCCACCTCTCATCCCTGTTTAATGTTAATCTTCTTCTCATGCTCTTCGACCCTACTCTGTTCTTAGTTACTCTCCTTATATCAAAGAAGACATTTGGCATTTGTTTTTTAGGGATTGGCTAGCTTCACTTAGCATAATCTGCTCTAATGCCATCCATTTCCCTGTAAATTCTATGATTTTGTCATTTTTTAATGCAGAGTAATACTCCATTGTGTATAAATGCCACATTTTTTTTATCCATTCATCTATTGAAGGGCATCTAGGTTGGTTCCACAGTCTTGCTATTGTGAACTGTGCTGCTATGAACATCGATGTAGCAGTGTCCCTGTAGCATGCTCTTTTTAGGTCTTTAGGGAATAGACCAAGAAGGGGAATAGCTGGGTCAAATAGTGGCTCCATTCCCAGCTTTCCAAGAAATCTCCATACTGCTTTCCAAATTGGCTGCACCAATTTGCAGTCCCACCAGCAATGTACAAGTGTACCCTTTTCCCCACATCCTCGCCAGCACTTGCTGTTGTTTGACTTCATAATGGCTGCCAATCTAACTGGAGTGAGATGGTATCTTAGGGTGGTTTTGATTTGCATTTCTCTGACAGCTAGAGATGGTGAGCATTTTTTCATGTACTTGTTGATTGATTGTATGTCCTCCTCTGAGAAGTGTCTGTTCAGGTCCTTGGCCCATTTGTTGATTGGGTTGTTTGTTCTCTTATTGTCTAATTTTTGGAGTTCTTTGTATACTCTGGATATTAGGGCTCTATCTGAAGTGTGAGGAGTAAAGATTTGTTCCCAGGATGTAGGCTCCCTATTTACCTCTCTTATTGTTTCTTTTGCTGAGAAAAAACTTTTTAGTTTGAGTAAGTCCCATTTGTTGATTCTAGTTATTAACTTTTGTGCTATGGGTGTCCTATTGAGGAATTTGGAGCCCGACCCCACCGACTGTAGATCGTAGCCAACTTTTTCTTCTATCAGACGGCGTGTCTCTGATTTGATATCAAGCTCCTTGATCCATTTTGAATTCACTTTTGTGCATGGCGAGAGAAAGGGATTCAGTTTCATTTTGTTGCATATGGATTTCCAGTTTTCCCAGCACCATTTGTTGAAGATGCTATCCTTCCTCCATTGCATGCTTTTAGCCCCTTTATCAAATATAAGGTAGTTGTAGTTTTGTGGATTGGTTTTTCTGTGTCCTCTATTCTGTACCATTGGTCCACCCACCTGTTTTGGTACCAGTACCATGCTGTTTTTGTTACTATTGCTCTGTAGTATAGTTTGAAGTCTGGTATCGCTATACCGCCTGATTCACACTTCCTGCTTAGCATTGTTTTTGCTATTCTGGGTCGTTTATTTTTCCATATGAATTTCATGATTGCTTTTTCTATTTCTACAAGAAATGCCGTTGGGATTTTGATTGGCATTGCATTAAACCTATAGAGAACTTTTGGTAATATCGCCATTTTGATGATGTTAGTTCTGCCTATCCATGAACAGGGTATATTTTTCCATCTTCTAAGATCTTCTTCTATTTCTCTCTTTAGGGTTCTGTAGTTTTCATTGTATAAGTCTTTCACCTCTTTTGTTAGGTTGATTCCCAAGTATTTTATTTTTTTTGAAGATATTGTGAATGGAGTGGTTGTCCTCATTTCCATTTCAGAGGATTTGTCGCTGATATACAGGAATGCCTTTGATTTATGCGTGTTGATTTTATATCCTGCCACTTTGCTGAATTCATTTATTAGCTCTAATAATTTCTTTGTAGACCCTTTTGGGTCTGCTAGGTATAGAATCATGTCATCTGAAAATAGTGATAATTTAAGTTCTTCTTTTCCTATTTTGATGCCTTTAATTTCTTTCGTCTGTCTAATTGCTCTGGCCAGTGTTTCGAGAACTATGTTGAACAGAAGTGGTGAGAGAGGGCATCCCTGTCTTGTTCCAGATTTTAGAGGGAATGTTAGGCTAATATTTCTGACAGCATCATGTATATATTCAAAAGGTGATATTATCTCAAACAACTTGGAAGAACTTCAATATGATGTATTTTAAAAAATAATATGTTAGATAACTACTGAAATGGCACCAGGGATTAAAAAAAAAAATACTGGATGGCTAAGTGACATCCAGATAAAATTGCTTCATGAAGTGAATAAGACAATTTTTCCAGGCAGTAACCCTCTGCTAATAGAGATGTGAGGCTTAGTCCTAATAGGAACTTGGAAGAGATGGTCACTGGCCTGATGGGATTTGACTATTGCCTGGGGGAAGACCCGTACTATGTAGTAGAGCTTGTTACCCAAAGT